ATCCCATGCACCGCTCCAGACTAGGGACCAAATGGCTAGGCAGCAGTTCTGCAGGAAAGGACCTAGGGGTTACAGTGGACGAGAAGCTGGATATGAGTCAACAGTGTGCCTTTGTTGCCAAAAAGGCTAAGAGCATTTTGGTCTGTATAAGTAGGAGCATTGCCAGCAGATCAAGGGACATGATCATTTCCCTCTATTCGACATTGGTGAGGCCTCATCTGGAGTACTTTTGTGTCCAGTTTTGGGCCCACACTACAAGAAGGATATGGAAAAACTGGAAAACGTCCAGCGCAGGGCAACAAAAATTATTAGGGGGTTGGAGCACATGACTTATGAGGAGAGGCTGAGGGAACTGGGATTGTTTAGTCTGCAGAAGAGAAGAATGAGGGGGGATTTGATAGCTGCTTTCAACTACCTGAAAGGCGGTTCCAAAGAGGATGGATCTAGACTGTTCTCAATGGTAGCAGATGACAGAACAAGGAGTAATGGTCTCAAGTTGCAGTGGGGGAGGTTTAGGTTGGATATTAGGAAAACCTTTTTCACTAGGAGGGTGGTGAAGCACTGGAATGCGTTACCTAGGGAGGTGGTAGAATCTCCTTCCTTAGAGGTATTTAAGGTCAGGCTTGACAAAGCCCTGGTTGGGATGATTTAGTTGGGGATTGGTCCTGCTTTGAGCAGGGGGTTGGACTAGATGACCTCCTGAGGTCCCTTCCAACCCTGATATTCTATGACGCTCTATCAAGCTGAAACTGAAGTGAGAATTTTGGAGGACAGATTTCTATCAGCCCCGTCGTAATTTCCTGAAGGGCTAAAATACCCAGGCTAACACGCTCTCTCACCAGAAGATCTGCTGGTGGTGTTGGGCCCTTCTGGTGAGGTGCTGAGCAAACTCAGTTCTCATCGAGCTCTGCAGGAGTTGACAGTGAAAGGAGGAACTCAATGCTACATAAAAACTGGGTCTCTAATGGCCACAGGTGGTCAGGGTCTGAGATCTAGAGGAATGAGATACAGGATTGGGAGCTGAGAACTGGGAGCAGCTCTGCCAATGACTTGTTGTTGGGCCTTGGACAAACAACTTCACCTCTCCGGCTGCACCGTCCTGACCAGCCACCCTCTGGCTCAAGTCACCCTGGGTCCCCCCTGGCCATAGCCAGCCGGCTGACCCCCAACTCCAGGCTACCAGCCCAAGCTAAGCCCCCACCAGCTTTGGGGGATACAGGGAGTCAGGGCGGGGCCTCAAGCACTTTGGAGAAGGCAGCATGGGAACTGATGCAGTGGCTTATGGGACATTTCTTGCAGAGCAGCCAGTTGTGAGAGACTGAGCCAATCTACTATAGCAGAAGTTAGGAATGAGACACCTGGACAGCAGCCCACAGCTAGCAAATCCTTGGGGCTCACACAGGGATAGAGCTGAGTCATATGGTCATCCCAAACTTGTCCCACTTCAACTTCACAGCACCAGGGGGCTGATTTTCCTCACCCAGGGCACATTTCCCATATGTTAGGCCTAGAGCTGAAGAAAGGCAACGCGACAGGAGCATCAGCAATCGTTGCCAGAATCAAGGAGTTTTCACAAGGCTGTTTGTATCAAAGGTGATGTGTGTTTCATTTTTCACCTAACCCTCAACCCGCTTAGCTTTTCCTTCACCCTCCACAGCTCCTGCCATCTTCTGAGCCTGCAAATAGTCCTTTCCTTCTGTCACACTGATCTCTTGAAAATATTAATAGGCTGTGATCATTCCCTGCCCTCGCCTAATCTCCTTTTAAGATGATAATTTTAGCTCCATTCCTCCCTCCTCACAGGTCTCGTGCTCCAATCCTTTGCTCATCTTTGTAGTGGGTGAGACAAGTGAGAGGCAGTGTGTCCTAGTGGATAGAGCACTGGACAGGGACTCGGGAGACTGGGGTTACTTTCTTGGCTCCACCACTGGCCTAGTGGGTCACTCTGGGTAAGTCACGTCACCTCCCTGTGCCACAATTTCCCCACTAAAAAAAAAAAGGTGGGGTAAGAATATCCTTTGCAAAGTCCTTTGAGAGCGACTGTGGTGACCAAACTGCTGCATGCCCCAGGGGTAGTTTGTACATCCTTAGCTGTACTGAACCCCAGGATAGCACTGGGAGCCCAGATTTATCACATGGGGGTCTCAGACTCACTGGTTTACCCCCCAAGTCTGTCTATCTAAGGTACTTATCTGGCCCCCATTGCCATAGTCTCTGAGAACCTCAGAATTTTTAATGACTTTCTCATCTCAACATGCCAGGCTGGCAGGGCTATCACCTCCATTGCACAGATGGGGAACGGAGGCACAGAGAGACTAAGTGACTTGCCAAGGCCACACAGAGTCTGTGGCAAAGTGGGGACTTGAACCTTGGTCTCCCAAATTGCAAGCTAGTGCCCTGACCCCTGGGCTATCCAGCCTGTCCATCCCTCCCTAACCATACTGTTTATTGCCTTTTCCTAGGTGTAGGGCTTGGCATGTGTCAGTCTGGACTGTCCCCTCCTTGCCTGCAGTGCCACTTGCTCCAGCTCCTCCAGATGACATTTGGTTTTGGCTGAATTTGGACTGAACTTGGGCACGCCAGGCTGTGCATGGGAGTCTGGCTGTTCAAGAGTGCAGCGATGGGGTGCAAAGCTCTGGGAGTCTGGCTCAGGAGAGAAGCTGTCTGAAAGTCCTTCCCGGTTGCTCAGCATGTTTGCAGCTTCCACCCAGCTCCTAGTGGACAGGTATCCACGTCACAAAACCCACCGCAGAACTGGCACTAATTGACTGGGGTCAGCACTGACCAGGCAGAGAGACTCTGCTCCCCTTTCAGCTGCTGCTGCTCAGGCTAGTACCTCCCTGGGAGGGTTGAGGCACATCAGCAGAAAATCAGAGGCAGCATGATCTAGTGGCCAGGGCACTGGACTGGGAGCCAGGATGCCTGGGTTCTATTTTTGGCTCTACCACTGTCCTGCTGGGTGACCGTAGGCATGTCACTTCCCCTTGCTGTGCATTCTGGTCTGTCTAGACCGTAGGCTCTTCCGTCCAGGGCTGTCTCTCACTCTGTCTCTGTCCAATACCCAGCACAACAGGGCCCTCATCTCTAGTCCACAATAGAAATAGAAAGGGGACAACCTGGGGGAAGATCGTGCTGTACCTGTCCTGCAGATCAATAGAGTAGTCAGTCTGGCATCATTCACCAGCGGGGAGAAATAAACAAACCAACCTCCCCACAGGTGGCTTTCTGTGGCTTCTAACTCAGCCTGAGATGCGCCACCCACCCTGGCCCCTCACAGCTCTGAAAGGAGCAGGCATGAGATGTTGGTTACACTTTTTTAATTTCAAGTTTCTTTCTGCTTCAGTGACTGATTTTGAAGAAAAAAGTGGCTGGGGGATCCGGAGCTGCAATAAGAGCTGCAATAAGAGGAAACTTTTTAAGGTTTGTCAGTTTTGCTGCTTAATCATCTGGATGTTGTCCCTTTGAATAAGGGATCCTGAATTTTTTGGGAAATATTGAAAGGCACCATAAGCTCATCAGGCACTTACCATATGTTCCATGCCTCATCATAAACACTGCAGCCACCAGCAGAGCCCTGCCTATTGCTCCTGCTATGGGAGTTGCAATACTGACTGGCACAGTTTATTTTCAGGGTGCTTTATAGTCTGTACAACACCCCCACAAGACAGGGAGGTGAGCAGTGCGATCGCACCATCTTATACACAGAGAAACTGAGGCAAGGGAGGCTGAATTACTTGCTCAAGGCCACAGCAGGGATTGGTGTCAGGAATTAGGAGCCTGTGGTTCAAACCCAGGCCTGCCCTTATGGGGAGGCACTGGGCACGCTGCTGCCCCAGCTCAGCCCCACAGATGGCACAAGAGCCTGCTCCCAGCATGGAGCAGGGTTTGTGCAATTTTTTTGAACCCTCCTTCTTGCTGTCTCCTGCCAGCAGGAGTAGCTGGGCTCCTGCCTTCTCCTGTGTGCATCCAGAGCAGGCTCTACTTAGGTTCTGCCCCTGCTGCTTTCCAGGCCTGTCAGCCCTGCCTGTTTCATCACAGAGGGCTCTGCAAGGCACATTCCACCTCCAGCCAGCTCCCTCCACCTCCAGGTGATTGCTAGAGAGAGAAGGAAGATACTAGAGTGGGGGAGGCAATGGAGGGCTGCTGGATAGCTGTGGGGTGCTTAGGGTTGCCAACTGTTTAATCGCACAAACCCAAACACCCTTGCCCCACCCCTTCTCCACCCCTTCCCTGAGGCCCCACCCCACTCACTCTATCCCCCCTCCCTCTGTTGCTCGCTCTCCCCCACCCTCATTCACTTTCACTGGGCTGGGGCAGGGGGTTAGGATGTGAGAGGGGGTGCGGGCTCTGGGTTGGGGCTGAGGAGTTTGGACCGTGGGAGGGGATTCCAGGTTGTGCTTGGGCAGGGGATTGAGGTGCAGGAGGGAGTGAGGGTTGCGGACTCCAGCCGGGCAGCACTTACCTCAGACAGCAGCATGTCCCTGAGGCTCCTAGACTCAGGGGCGGCCAGGTGGCTCTGCCCCTGCTTGCAGGCACCATCCCCACAGCTCCCATTGGCTATGATTCCCAGCCAATGGGAGCTGTGGAGTTGGTGCTCGGGACAAGGGTAGCACACAGAGACCCCCTGGCCATCCCTGCACCTAGAAGCTGCAGGGACATGCTGGCCACTTCCGGGAGCTGTGCGGAGCCAGGGAAGGCAGGGAGCCTGCCTTAGCCCTGCTGTACCGCCGACTGGACTTCTGGCCTATTAAAATCTCCCTGACTACTTTCAATTGCGACCAGAAGATTGAGGCTGATTCTGGGAGAGTCCTGGCTAATCCGGGAGGGTTGGCAATCCTAGGGGATGCTGTATTGCTGAGGGGGGAAGCGTTGTGGAATAGGGAGCTGTGTGTTGCGGGGATGCTGGAGGGATGCTTGTGTGATGGGGGGCTGGAGGGAAATTGCTTCATTATTGCAGGCTTGTGGAGGGCTCTGGGGTGTCAGAAAGAGCAGGCACTTACCACCATGCGGTTGAGGGACACCCAGCAATCTTCAGGGAAGTCCTGCAGCATGGGCACCAGGAACTGAAGGCAGCCATCCCAGTGACACAGCAGGAGCATCATTCCAATCAGGTTCACAATCCGCACCACCGCACTCGCCAGGTCATAGGTCATGTGGAATATCTGCAGGGGCCAGGAGGGAGATGATTCACACCCAGCGCCTCAGCCAACGAACACAACCAACAGACAGAGAGCTCCAGGCCAGGGAAACACAACCAAACAAAAGCAGTCCAAGACAAGGTTGGGTCAATTCTCCACAGGCAGATCAGTGGTTAAATACAAAATATTAGAGCAAGTCAGAAAACAGGTTAAAAAAATCACCAAATATGCCCACCCCCTCCCATTCTTCATCCAAATTTCACTTCGATTTAAAATTTTCAGTCTGCTTTATAAAATAAATCACATAGCTGCTCTTCAGCATTTCACTTGTGCCTTACTTCTCTCCAGGGAGCGATCCTCCTTTGATATCCCCAGTTTTGAAAATAGATTATAAGCCCCCCAGGGCAGGGTCTCTTTCTGTGTTTGTACATTGGATGCATGTGCCAGCATTCTTTCACACAGTGCACAGCAGCCTTAAACCAGCTAGAGCTCTACAGTGAAAAATTCAGCAGAACTGGTCTCCTATCCAGCTGTCCCCTCTGTCCGTGGCCTTACATGGAGGAGGGCAGGCTGGTGGAGAGGAGGGGGCACAGAAGATTTGGGCTACACAGAGTTGGGCTACCATCTTCTGCTGGTATGCAGAGTCTTACTCTTAACAGGGCCATTTAGAACCAGAGGGCTCAGCAGCCCTGAATCAGGCAGTTGCATTTGGTTCTCTGCAGTCCCTAATTCTCCATTACAAGGAGGGGCAACGTATTTCCCCCCATCGTACTAATCATAAGCAGAATATATTCAGAAGCCCACGTATCATGTGATCAAGGCAGGGTGCAGACAGACATATGCCCCTGTCAGGGTTCCCTCTCCACTCTGAGGTACAGATGTGAGGACCCGCATGAACGACCCCCTAAGTTTATTTCTACCAGCTTAGGTTAAAAATTCCCCAAGGCACAAATCCCTTTTGTCCTTGGACGGTATGCTGCCACCACCAAGTGATTTAAACAAACATTCAGGGAGGGCCACTTGGAGCCCTGTCCCCCCCCAAAATATCCCCCCAAGCCCTTACACCTCCTTTTCTGGGGAGGCTTCAGAATAATATCCTAACCAATTGGTTACAAAGTTAGCACAGATCAACCCCCCCTGGGTCTTAGGACAATGAAAATCAATAAGGTTCTTAAAAGAAGAATGTTATTTAAAGAAAAGGTAAAAGAATCACCTCTGTAAAATCAGGATGGAAGATAACTTTTCAGGGTAACAAAAGATTCACAAACACAGAGGAACTCCCTCTAGGCTTAGTTCAAAGTTACAAAAAACAGGAATAAACCTCCCTCTAGCAAAGGGAAAATTCACAAGCTAAAACAAAAGATAATCTAACACGCCTTGCCTGGCTTTACTTACTATTTTTGTAATATTAGAGACTGGTTCAGGATTGGTTGGAGGAGATGGACTTCGGCCTGGCCTCTCTCAGTCCCAGGAGAGAGAACACCCAACAAAAAGCACAAACAAAGCGTCCCCCTCCCCAGAGTTGAAAGTATCTTCTTTCCCCATTGGTCCTTTTGGTCAGGTGCCAGCCAGGTTATTTGAGCTTCTTAACCCATTACAGATAAGGAGGAATTCTAGGCTACCCTTAGCTGTATGGTTATGACAGCCCCATAGAGTACAGCTCAGTGGGGACACTTTTCTTTATTTGCTAGGGAGAACTGGCATTCTGAAAACACTGGGATTTGTCTTGCTAAGGACATGCAACCTAGATGACGCTACTATAACGTAGGTGCAAAACTGGTTGGAAAACCATTCCCAGAGAGTAGTTATCAGTGGTTCACAGTCATGCTGGAAGGATGTAATGAGTGGGGTCCCACAGAGATCAGTTCTGGGTCCGGTTCTGCTCAATATCTTCATCAATGGTTTAGATAATGGAATAGAGAGTACACTTATAAAGTTTGCGGGTGATACCAAGCTGGGTGGGGTTGCAAGTGCTTTGGAGGATAGGATTAAAATTCAAAATGATCTGGACAAACTGGAGAAATGGTCTGAAGTAAATCGGATGAAATTCAATAAGAACAAATGCAAAGTACTCCATTTAGGAAGGAACAATCAATCAGTTGCCCACATACAAAATGGGAAATGACTGCCTGGAAGTCGTTAGGAAGGAATACTGCTGAAAGGGATCTGGAGGTCATAGTGGCCCACAAGCTAAATATGAGTCAAGAGTGTAACGCTGTTACAAAAAAAGCAAACATCATTCTAGGATGTATTAGCAGGAGTGTTGTAAGCAAAACACAAGAAGTAATTCTTCTGCTCTACTCTGCACTGATTAGGCCTCAATTGGAGTATTGTGCCCAGTTCTGGATGCCACATTTCAGGAAGGATGTGGACAAGTTGGATAAAGTTCAGAGAAGAGTGACAACAATAATTAAAGGTCTAGAAAACATGACCTATGAGGGAAGATAGAAAAAATTGGGTTTGTTTAGTCTGGAAAAGAGAAGACCGAGGGGTGACATGATTACAGTTTTCAAGTATGTCAAAGGTTGTTACAAGGAGGAGGAAGAAAAATTGTTTTTCTTAACCTCTGAGGACAGGACAAGAAGCAATGGGCTTAAATTGCAGCAAGGGTGCTTTAGCTTGGACATTGGGAAAAACTCCCTGTCAGGGCACTCCCTCAGGGAACGGATGGGCAGGATCCCCGGGCAGAATAACATGAGGGGGAAAGGAGTCCAGAAGAGCTGGCTGTATTTTAAAGAATCCTTATTGAGGTCACAGGAACAAACCATCCTGATGTGTAGAAAGAATAGTAAATATGGCAGGCAACCAGCTTGGCTTAACAGTGAAATCCTTGCTGATCTTAAACACAAAAAAGAAGCTTACAGGAAGTGGAAACTTGGACAAATGACCAGGGAGGAGTAGAAAATATTGCTCAGGCATGCAGGGGTGAAATCAGGAAGGCCAAATCACACCTGGAGTTGCAGCTAGCAAAGGATTTTAAGAGTAACAAGAAGGGTTTCTTCAGGTATGTTGACAACAAGAAGAAAGTCAAGGAAAGTGTGGGCCCCTTACTGAATGAGGGAGGCAACCTAGTGATAGAGGATGTGGAAAAAGCTAATATACTCAATGCTTTTTTTGCCTCTGTCTTCACGAACAAGGTCAGCTTCCAGACTACTGCACTGGGCAGCACAGTATGGGGAGGAGGTGACCAGCCCTCTGTGGAGAAGGAAGTGGTTCAGGACTATTTAGAAAAGCTGGACGAGCAAAGTCCATGGGGCCGGATGCACTGCATCCGAGGGTGCTAAAGGAGTTGGCTGATGTGATTGCAGAGCCATTGGCCATTATCTTTTCATGGCGATCGGGGGAGGTCCCGGACTACTGGAAAAAGGCTAATGTAGTGCCCATATTTTAAAAAGGGAAGGGGGAGGATCCAGGGAACTACAGGCCAGTCAGCCTCACCTCAGTCCCTGGAAAAATCATGGAGCAGGTCCTCAAGGAATCAATTCTGAAGCACTTCGAGGAGAGGAAAGTGATCAGGAACAGTCAGCGTGGATTCACCAAGGACACAAGTCATGCCTGACTAACCTAATTGCCTTCTATGACAAGATAACTGGCTCTGTGGATGAGGGGAAAGCAGTGGATGGGTTATTCCTTGACTTTAGCAAAGCTTTTGATACGGTCTCCCACAGGATTCTTGCCAGCAAGTTAAAGAAGTATGGGCTGGATGAATGGACTATAAGGTGGATAGAAAGCTGGCTAGATTGTCAGGCTCAACGGGTAGAGATCAACGGCTTGATGTCTAGCTGGCAGCCGGTATCAAGCGGTGTGCCCCAAGGGTTGGTCCTGGGGCTGGTTTTGTTCAAGATCTTCATTAATGATCTGGAAGATGGCGTGGACTGCACTCTCAGCAAGTTTGGAGATGACACTCAACTGGGAGGAGAGGTAGATATGCTGGAGGTAGGGATAGGATACAGAGGGACCTAGACAAATTAGAGGATTGGGCCAAAAGGAATCTGATGAGGTTCAACAAGGACAAGTGCAGAGTCCTGCACTTAGGACGGAAGAATCCCATGCACCGCTACAGACTAGGGACCAAATGGCTAGGTAGCAGTTCTACAGAAAAGGACCTGGGGATTACAGTGGATGAGAAGCTGGATATGAGTCAACAGTGTGCCCTTGTTGCCAAGAAGGCTAACAGCATTTTGGGCTGCATAAGTAGGGGCATTGCCAGCAGATCAAGGGACAAGATCATTCCCCTCTATTCGACATTGGTGAGGCCTCATCTGGAGTACTGTGTCCAGTTTTGGGCCCCACACTACAAGAAGGATATGGAAAAATTGGAAAACATCCAGCAGAGGGCAACAAAAATGATTAGGGAGCTGGGACACATGACTTCTGAGGAGAGGCTGAGGGAACTGGGATTGTTTAGTCTGCAGAAGAGAAGAATGTGTGGGGATTTGATAGCTGCTTTCAACTACCTGAAAGCGGGTTCCAAAGAGGATGGCTCTAGACTGTTCTCAGTGGTACCAGATGACAGAACAAGGAGTAATGGTCTCAAGTTGCAGTGGGGGAGGTTAGATGTTAGGAAAACTTTTTCACTAGGAGAGTGGTGAAGCACTGGAATGGGCTACCTAGGGAGGTGGTGGCATCTGCTCCTTTTAAGGTCAGGCTTGACAAAGCCCTGTCTCGGATGATTTAGTTGGGGATTGGTCCTGCTTTGAGCAGGGGTTGGACTAGGTGACCTCCTGAGGTCCCATCCAACCCTAATATTCTATGATTCTATGAATAGCTCCGCCCTACCTTACAGGACTATTGTGAGAATAAATTAAAGACTGTAAGGCGCTCAATGACTGCGGCGATGTGGCCAGGTAATTAGGGAAGAAGAAAGGCGGACAGTTTGGTTAACTGTTTCTCAACCCCATTGTTTACCCAGCTTCCTCTGCTTCTTGGGTGCAGCAGGAAACAGAGCCAAAAATAGCGTGAGAGGCCACCAAACAGCATTTCCACACAAGATTGACCCAGAATCCCAAGTGAAAGGCTGCATT